AGCTTTGTTTTGCTCTGAATGTTACAGACTAGAGAGAGACTAGGAGAAGCCCCAGGATGTCAGTATCTGTTTGGCGAGTCTCTTCTTCACCATCAGCTGAGAAAGCACCATATTTCCAGCACTGAGCTTGCAGCTAGATTTTTCTCAGCTTTTTTTGGCCCAGGGGAAGATCTGGAAATCTTTTTTTTTTTTTTTTTAAATATTAGAATAATTTGGTTTAGTGTAAACAAAGTAGGACAGTTAAGGTTTTCACAGAAATTCTTTTTCTTCAAACTCCTTCCTTTGATTTTTATTGCTTCCACAAAGTTCCCACTTTCTTCCTTTGAGACACTAAACCCATTTGCTTTTTCCATCTTTCTTGGTTGATTCTTCCTGTGAGGTTGAGCTGGAATTGCTTTGTCCCACCATTTGTGGAGTAGGAGGTGGCTCTGTTCTGAGCACTAGAGACGAAGCAGAGGATTAGCACTGGGCTTCACCCAGCACTTCTTTTTGGTGGAGAGGCCATCACAACCTTTAGCTCTTAATCAGGTTTGGGAGGCTTAGAAATTGAAGAGTGGTAGTCTTCTGCTTTCCTGAGTGTTTCATTTTCCAAAGACTTCTCACTCTACTTCCTACATCCTGGCCTAACTTGTCACAAGAGTGACTAAGGTCCCAGTCTGAGATGACTCATTTTTTATCCTTGACCATTTCAATTTCTGGATTTCTTGACTTTGCCAGTTTGGATACCATCATTCTAATTATGGTTCACTTAACTGATACTTCAGTTTCCTGTTCCTCTTCTAGTGCCTCTTATGCTTCTTATTCTGCACACCAGGCTTTTTGTCTCAGAAGATAGAAGTTGCTGGGCTGGACTGGGAGGTGTCAGCAGGTGTCATCTTCCTTAGGAGTAATCTGAAGCTTTTAATTCAATTTGAGTATTTAGAAGGGACCTCTATTACTGATTCAGGAGCTTTGTAGGTAGTAAGGGAAAAGGGTCCATGGTGAAAACTGCAAGTTGCTCATACTTCTTACAGTAAAAATGAACACTGGGATTAAAAGAAAAGTTAGACTGACACTCTGAGAAGCAAGGCCAGTGTTGGTGGGACACACACACAGAAACACACACACACACACACACACACACACACACACAC